TCGAAGGAAGTCTTGAGAGGCGTGAAGAAACAAGGCTTGTATACCCTTGAGGCTGAAGTTGTAAGTGGTTCGACAAATGTTGCATCCACGAAACCTTTGTCGAAGACAGAAATTTGGCACATGAGATTGGGCCATGTCAGTGAAAGGGGTCTGGTCGAATTAGGGAAACAAAATCTGCTTGGTGGAGATAAAGTCGAAAAGCTGAAGTTTTGTGAACCCTGTGTACTTGGAAAGTCCTGTAGAATGAAGTTCAACAAAGGCAAACAAAGAACACATGGATCCCTTGATTACATCCATGCTGATCTTTGGGGGCCTGCAAGGTGTCCATCACATTCAGGAGCAAAGTATTTTCTATCCATAGTAGATGACTATTCCAGAAAGTTATGGGTATTCATCCAGAAGACTAAGGATGAAACTTTTGAGAATTTCAAAAGTTGGAAGACTCTTGTCGAAAATCAAACTGGCAGAAAGGTAAAGAGGTTGAGAACCGACAATGGCCTTGAGTTTTGCAATGAGGCGTTCGACAGTTTTTGTGTTGCCTCTGGTATTGCAAGGCACAGAACTACCGCAGGTACTCCACAACAAAATGGTTTGGCTGAAAGGTTTAATCGAACTATTTTGGAGAGAGTTAGATGCATGTTGACTAGTGCGGGATTAAAGAAGGTGTTTTGGGCTGAGGCTGTTTCGACAGCAGCATATCTGATAAACAGATGTCCTTCGACAGCGTTAGATATGAAGACACCCGAAGAAGTTTGGTCGGGACATCCACCAGATCTCGACAAACTAAGAGTATTTGGCTGTGTAGCCTATGCTCACATTAGGCAAGACAAGGTCGAACCTAGAGCTCTGAAATGCATGTTTATGGGATACCCTGAAGGAGTGAAAGCTTATAGGCTATGGTGCCTAGAGCCAGGTCACAGGAGGTGTATCACCAGTCGAGATGTGGTTTTCAATGAAACTGAAATGGCTTTCAAGAAAACTGATGATGTTGACGAAGAGCTGGAACAGGTAGAGATTCCTGTTGAGGTGGAGCATGTTGATGCTGAAATGCGTATCCCAGATGAAGTCGAAGAAGAAACAGAAGATTCTGATGATGTTGAGGAAACTGTTGATGACTACCTATTGTCGAGAGATAGGCAAAGAAGAGTCATAAAACCACCTCAGAGACTTGGATATGCAGATCTTGTAGCTTATGCCTTAATCTCTGCAAGTGAAGTTCTAGACGAAGAACCTAGAGATTATAAGGAAGCTATAAGGAGTCGAATGAAGACTGAATGGCTAAAGGCCATGCATGATGAGATGAAATCTCTTCATGATAATCACACTTGGGAACTGATCAAGAAACCTGTTGGGGCAAGGTTAGTCAGCTGTAAGTGGATTTTCAAAGTTAAGGAAGGAATTGAAGGAGTAATGTCGAAGAGGTACAAGGCAAGATTAGTCGCAAGGGGTTTCACTCAGAAAGAAGGTGTCGACTTCAATGATGTATTTTCCCCTGTTGTGAAGCACAGATCCATTCGAATGTTGCTTGCCATGGTGGCTCAGTTCGACCTTGAACTGGAACAAATGGATGTGAAGACTGCGTTCTTGTATGGTGACTTAGACGAAACAATCCTGATGAGGCAACCTGAAGGGTATGTCGAAAAGGGGAAAGAAGATTATGTGTGCAAACTGAAGAAATCTTTATATGGACTTAAACAATCTCCTCGACAGTGGAATAAGAGATTCGACAAGTTCATGGAACACATAGGTTTCATTAGAAGTCAGTTCGACCATTGTGTTTACTCCAGATTTCGACCTGAAAATTCATTTGTAATTTTGTTGCTTTATGTTGATGACATTCTGATAGCAAGCAACAATGTCGAAGATGTAATGAGGGTGAAGGCTGAACTCAATAAGGAGTTCGACATGAAGGATCTGGGAGCTGCATCTAGGATTCTTGGAATTGACATTCGAAGAGATAGAAAGCAGTCGAAATTATGCTTATCTCAAGAGGCATACCTACGAAAGATTCTTGACAAGTTTGGTATGTCGAATTCAAAGCCTGTTGTGACTCCAACAAACCCTCAATTCAAGCTGAGCATTGATCAATGTCCCAGTACTGATGTCGAAAGAACCTATATGAACAGCATCCCATATGCTAATATAGTTGGTTCTTTGATGTATGCTATGGTCTGTACTAGACCCGACATAGCATATGCAGTAAGTCTTGTAAGCAGGTACATGGCGAATCCTGGAAAGGCTCACTGGCAAGCGTTAAAGTGGATTCTAAGGTACATAAATGGGTCTCTGAACAGAGTCTTAATTTATGGTGGAGCCTTGGGTGAAGATAGTAAAGCAGCAGTCGAAGGCTATGTTGACTCTGATTATGCAGGCTGTATGGATTCCAGAAAATCTATTTCTGGATATGTTTTCACTATGTTTGGTACAGCAATTAGTTGGAAAGCAACTCTTCAGAAGGTTGTTGCCTTATCAACTACTGAAGCAGAATATATTGCCCTAACTGAAGCTGTGAAAGAAGCATTGTGGCTTGAAGGTTTTGCAAAGGAACTGAAACTTCAAGGTCAAGGTATCACTGTTAAATGTGATAGTCAAAGTGCAATACACCTGTCGAAGAACTCAGCCTATCATGAGCGAACCAAGCACATAGATGTGAGGCTGCATTTCGTCAGAGGGGTAATCGAGCGTGGAGAAGTCCAAGTGCTGAAGGTCTCGACAGAACACAATGCCGCTGATATGATCACCAAAACATTGCCAAGTTGCAAGTTTTTCCACTGTATGCAGTTGATAAAGCTGCATGAAGAAAGCTAGTTAATGTCTCTTGATGCTGTAGAGTTAAGTCCAAGGTGGAGATTTGTGGGTTTTGGATCGAACTCTAGTATGATCGAAGTACATGCTGTAGTCGAAGAAAGGGTCTAGCATGTATTTGTCGAAGATGCTTATTAAATTAGGTTTTAGTGTTTAAACCCTAATTTGTTAAGTTAGCTTGTTTATTAAGTTAGCTTGTATAATGGGCCTTGTGGAAAAAGCCCATTAGTTAGTATGTTAGGTTTTATTATAAATAGCATACTAGTCTCTCATCATTGCAGCACAGCAAATCCTAATTTAGGGTGAGAGGGTTATTTGTTATTCTTGTAAACTTGTAATCTTGTTTCCTAAGTGAAAGTAAAGAATAGCAGTTATAACCAATTCTTGTGTTCTTCTTCTTCCTTGTTCGTTATTCCTCCCTTATTCTATAATTTGTTATTGGCATTGAATTCACAACAGCGTTCTTATTGGTGTAAAAGTTTTCTCGTGGATTGATGTGTTAGGAATATCTTGAACATTGTTACTTTATGTTTGTATGACATAGGTGGATTCTAGATTATTTTATGAATGTATAGTCCTTGATTTCTGACTAAAATCGAGGGAAAATGTTATTTCCTTTTTAATTAAAAAATAAAATAAAATAGGGACTTACTCACCGGTTATTAACAAAATCGAAGAAATACATCATTTAATTTACAAATAAAAAATATAATAAAAATAAGTACACCACTTTTCCTCTCAGTTTTTGCATTTAACCGGCAAGTTAAATAAGATTGAGTTTATTATATCTAATGTAGATTGCTTATTTCGCTAAACCCTAATTGAATATATAACTTCTGAAAGTTGCTTAGAAAAATAATTATATGAACAATTGTGTTATATATGAAGAACAACTTACACTAATCAATGATTTTTCTAGCATCCTCTCACACTCTTTAATTGTTAAAATCTCTTCAATGTTTCAAGTTCTTTATTCAACTCTTCCTTTTTTAATAATTCATCCTTGAAAGAATAATATTTGATGTTTTGAAAAAAAACAAATATGAAAGAAAGTTGAATGAAAACTAGGAGTATTGAATAATTTGTAACAACTAAAAAGCATGAGATAAATGATGAGTTTCAGAATGCTAGAAAAATATTAATAAGTGTAAGATATATATCAAATACAACATAAATTTTCATATGATTATTTCCAAAATTATTTTAATAGGTTATATTTTCAAAGAGGGGTTAGTGAAACAAACAACCGACATTTGATATAATAAATTCAACTCGACGAAACAAGATGAGATCTACACAAAAAAAACATAATATGAATATAAATATGAATATCAATACTCAAACTCAACAACAACAAAATGAGTAGTGATGTTTGACGAACCAAATCTCTGAAAAAGAAATGAAAGAAAAATATTTTGAATTTATGAAGAAGAAACAAGAGCCCTAAACACATCTAATCTTCGTATTGAAGATGATATTTGTTTATGGCCCTTGTTGTTTATGGATCTCTTGTTGGCTCTCTTATTTAAATTTTTTTGTTAGGGTTTAAATAAGTGAAACTGAATGTTACAAGCTAAAGCTTTATATATCAGGGAAACAATTTTATCTCGGTTGGGAAACAAAAATGAGGTGAAAAATGACTTATTTTTAGATTGAAAATAAAATATTCAATAAAACACTCCTTTTTATAACATAAAAACATAAAGACGGGATATAGTATTTTTTAAAGAAAAAATATGACATGTACATCATATATACCTCAGTTTTATGATATGTAAGATGAAATAGTTGTCATAAAAATATTTTTTCTAAAAATTTATCGGACAAAGTGATAATAGATTTTGAAAATAATTTCTTACAAAACCTCATGTATTTCTTGCACCTTCTCATAATGAAGGACGAACCCCGCTTTATACATGCCTCAATAATGGTTTAATGTATGTTTACTTTAGTCTTAACTTTTTAAAGTCATGCTCAAAAATCATATTTTCGCATAACTTTGATGTTAAATCTTCTTATAAATTACAATTACAAACACACTGATAATAATTTTAGAGGCCTCAACAACAACGACACCACCATAATTGGTGGTTGCACCAATTACATATATATGTATTCTACGTTGCAGTTGCAATCACATATGCGATTGTGAGTTGCAACCACATATAAGATTGTGACTGTAAGAATGACACAAATTAAGCTGATGAAGTAGCTTGAAGTCGTAGAGATTGAAACTTCTTTAAAGTTATCCCAAATTTCGCCTCCATATTTACTTCTTCTGGCTTTAACCCATCAGGAAGATTCCATTTAAAATTGCGTAAAAGGGATGCCACCACTAAATGCAGAACCCTATGAGCCAAAGGTAATCCTGGACAAATTCTTTTGCTCGCCCCAAATGGTATAAGCTCAAAACTATTACCCTTATAATTAATGTCACACTCTAAAAATCTTTCGGGTATAAATATATTTGGATTTTCCCAAATGGTTGGATCTCTTCCCATGGCCCATACATTAACTATTATTTGTGCATTTTTTGGCACATTGAAGCCTAATATCTGAACAGTTTCATCACATTTGTGGGGTAGCAATAATGGAGCACTTGGGTGCAACCGAAAAGTTTCCTTCACAATTGCTTGTAAGAAAAGTAATTTGGAAATATGCGATTCTTCAATCGTTTCTTCTTTATCAATTTCTTGACATACCTCTTTTTGTGCTTTTGTTAATTTTTCAGGATTACGTAATAACTCTGTCATAATCCATTCAATTGTGCCTGATGTTGTGTCAATCCCAGCAACAAATAAATCCTAACAAAATAATATTTAGACTTTCAATTATATTTGCAATAATATAGAAAAAATAATATTGAGGAATATTTTTGTAACACAACTTTATGATTGTATCAATAAGCACTTTCATTATTTATTAATCATAAAAATATATATTATTAATTACTTATTTATTTGTATATTTTAAATAATATTTACTATTTTATTAACAAATAAAATATTATATATTAGACACTTATTAACTAATATAGTTTATTTTTGTGATTAATGAGATAATGAAATGATTGATAAGATTTTGTACATATAGATAGTGTAGTTTAAAACACACCTAAATATGTGGATGGAGTTTCGTAATACAGATATCTCTGGGTCCACTAGAGAGCAAAATATTTTAATTGATGTCGACTATAAAAAAGGACAAAGATGATTAAAATACTAGATTTAGTTATAACCATGACATGTTTAGAAAAACAATTGTACTATTTAGAGAGCAAAATATTTTAATTGATGTCGACTGTAAAAAAGGACAAAGATGATTAAAATACTAGATTTAGTTATAACTATGACATGTTTAGAAAAACAATTGTACTATAGAATAAACATATATAATTTTGATTGTATTATTTAATTAATAATATTATTTTAACCCAATGTTCTCAAATCATAGTTCAACTGATAAAAATAAATACTGTTAAGTTAAACACCAACATGTTTAAATTATAAATTTTAAAGTTAAATATGTTTTTTTTTCCACTTATATCTTTCATATTTAACTTTTAATTTTTTTTTAAAAATTTCTTTTAAGAATGATTTTTTTAAAAATTTTAATTTTAATTTTTGATTCCTCATATGATTTAACTATGATTTTTACAATTTAATAATAAAGTTAATGATAATTTTAACAACTTTTTATTTAACAATTAAATTAACGATAATTTTAACAATAGTTTTAACATTAAAAATTAAAAATAAAATTTTGAAGAAGATCACTATTTAAATAAACTTTTCAAAGGAACTAAAAATAAATATGAGATATAAATTTTATTATATTATCGTTTTATTTACTAAATATTCTTTTAAAAAGATAAAAAACATATAAAATTTAAACTCTAATAATTGATGAAAATGAATTATTTGAAAAGCAAGACTAACCATAAACAGATGCACCATCTCATCGCGGCTTAATTCCAGAGTGGTTTCTCCAATATTGTTGCTCTTAAGAAGTGAATCCAACACATCATTGCAAACATCCCCAGAATCAGCTTTGGTAGATCTTGTACTAATTCTTTCTTCAATAATTTCATCAAGAATATCATATAACTTCTTCAAATGTTTGGTGGTCTTTGCATACACACTTTGTAGATCTAAGGGACGAAGGATGGGAAAGAAATCTGAAACATTAGGCTTCCCAGCTTCTTCCATGATACCCCAAATAATTTTCTTAAATTCTTGAGACTCTTGGCCATGGATTGAATGAGCCAAATCCATAGAGAACAAAGTGTTTGAAATTGAATTAAGGACAGTTGTAAAAACAGCCTCACCAATATCAATAGCCTCGCCTTTCTGGATTTTTTCATTCACATAATCTAATAATTCTTGCAACTTTTGTTGGCGCAAATTTTTTGTTGAATCTAGCATTTTTGTAGAAAATACTTTTGTGGCACAAATTTTTCTTAGTTTCTTCCACAAGTCTATTGTTGGAAGCCATGCAGGTGAGAATTTGTGATGATCAAGTGCATAGCCAGCATGTGGAATACTTCTACTAGAAAAAATTTGTGAATTTTCTTGTAAGACTTGTTTGGCTACTTGAGGGGATGAGATTACTATGGTTGTTATTGTTCCTAATTTTAGTGTCATGATTGGTCCATAGATTTTAGAGAGTTTTGTGAGAGATTTGTGTGGGTTTTTACCAAGTTCTAAGATGTTACCAATGATGGGAAGTGGGTGTGGCCCTGGTGGAAGTGGAGGTTTAGTAGAAATTTGAGTTTGGTTTAATTTTCTAAGAATGAAGATGAGAATGGTAGCACACACAAAAGTAATAAGTAGGAGAAGCGTTTGGTACTCCATGGCTTATTGTTCGTGTCTTTCCTTTGTGTGATATACACATGTATTTATAACATAACATTAATTAGACAATTCGAGAGGATATGCTATGAGATGGAAGATGAGCCACTAGTAAAACAGGAGAAGAAATATCTCACTGATTTGTTAAATCTATATCCACATTCTTTGAGTGACAAATTAATATTTATTGTATTTTAATTCGTTTTTATATAAATTATCTTCCAAAAATTTTCTTTGACTTTTATATATATATATATATATATATATATATATATATATATATATATATATATATATATATATATATATATATATATATATATATATATATATATATATATATATATAAAACTCAGAATTTTCAGAACTGAGTTACAAGCTCACTATAGCCGAGAAAGAAAATCGTCTAAGTCGAATATTCTTAAAACAATAGAAGTCAGGGTGGATTTGAGGATTTGTTTGAGAACAGACGACAAATTCCATGTCCATTTTTGGGTCCAATCTGTCAGGTTTTTGAAGGGTCATCCTAGAACATCAATATTATGAAAACCTTAGAACGATCGAGAGTTGAGTCTATTACGAATGAGTTAATAAATTGAATATCTTACATAATGGATAATAATAAAGTCGGTTACAAAGAGACTAATGGTTGTTAAAGACCTATTCAACCATGCCTCTTGATGATCTACAGAGAGAGAAGATTGGCAATATATAGGTCTTTTTGGACCAAATAGGGGATAACGCACGACTAACACAAAAAGGAATAGAATCAGTGAGATCATGGAGCAGTCCAACAATGACTACCACTCCTCGTATCCCTTAAGAAACATATCAAATACCCCATAAACACAAAACATTTGCGATCTCGCCTGATTTAGACCGAAGAGATTATCCAAATAATATTCTTTACAAGAATATTTGGCGTTCACCGTAAGGCTCCATATGCTTGATTAAAAGCAGAAGTAATGTAATGGTTATCTTTACCATATTTCATGTTTTGAGAATTCAAAAAGTTGTGGTAGGATCCCCATTTTTATGATAATGCAATTGTAAGTTGATTAGTAAATCCATGGTATTTTAGTTTAAAAACCTATCGATGAAACTGTGCATACCATATTTGATTCTATGGCTGATTGAACTCTATTATTTCTTAAATATTTATCGTGATGTTTCTTCTTATGCATGTATAGAAAAGCTTGAGAGCAGCAGAGTACGGTCTAATCCTGATACTAGAATTGCGAAAAGCTGGGAAATTAGTGTTTATCATGAAACTCAACCCTAAAAGTGGCTTCGAGATTTCGTTTATGAAGGTTTATGTACAAGAGATTCGTTAGATGGATTTCGTTGACAGAAACTTTCGCCCGCAAAACTTCTGATCTCATACAAGCCAGCAAAATACAAATTTGTTAGTTAAACGTTAGCAGGTATGTATGTCCAAATTGGACACACCACACTACGAACATTGGCATTAAAAGATAATGCCGAAACATATAAATATTGAACGACTATAGAACCAGGATTTTGAAAGGATCGAGTGCGAAAGACGATGAGTGCTTTTGTCAAATTCGCTGCTACCAATCATAATCGCAACGCTAAAGCCGCGTCACCGCTGCTGGAAGTTGAAGATAAGTAAATCTATAATAAGAAAGACATTTAATTTCTTGATTTTTCTGTTTGATATAGTTTTTGTGGAAATCTTGAAACTCTGACGAACATAAGCCACGTGATTGTAGCTATATGAGTTGATTATAGATGTATCCTTGATATTTATGTTTGAGTTATTAGAAGAATTAACAAAATTACATAGCAGACAATTGTTGCTTGTCTTTTGGTTGGGGCCGAGTTTGCAATAATTTTGAATGTTGGTTGTTGGAAACTAATGAGGGTTGGTTACGCTGATCGTCTCCATTGGTTCCTAAGTCACCTTTAATATTATATTTTTTAATACGTAGACGTCATAGACTGGTATAAAGACTGGACAAAGATGTACTCTCCAACATAAGCAAGTCATCCCATAAATTATGAGCTCTGCCATGTGGTCATGTTCAATAAAACCTCTAACTTCCCTTTGCCATCAACCCCCATGGAGCTCTGAACGTCGGTCATACCCTCGAGCCTCTAACCCCATTTTATGTCAACCCCAAGTGGGCTCTGAACATCGATCAACCCTAAGTGGGATCTGACCCCATTTTACGTCAACCCTAAGTGGGCTATGATTGTTAGTTAACCCCAAATGGGCTCTGAACCAATTTTACGTCAATCCTAAGCAGGCTCTGAACATCGGTCAATCCCGAGTGGGCTCTGAGCCAATTTTAAGTCAACCCCGAGTGGACTATGAACGTCGTCAATCCCAAGTGGGCTCTGAACCAATTTTACATCAACCCTAAGCTGGCTTTGAACATCGATCAACCCCAAGTGGGCTCTAAACCAATTTTACATCAACCATAATTAGGCTCTGAACATCGGTCACGCCAACTAAAGCCTCTTACCTCCAATTGGGTAACTCCCCAGTCATAAGAGTAACCACTCCCCGACCGCACAGGTAACTAACCGGTCATGAAGGGAACCACTCCTAATATACTGCAACGTCGTCAAGGGGCTCAAAACATGGTGCCAAAATAAGAAAAATAAGAAGTTATCAAAAGCATCCATAATGTTATGCATCTGAAGAGGATGATTAATGACATAATGATCGTGAATTAATAAGGACGACCTATAAACTTTAAACACACCAAATATTCTCAAGGCATTGAACCCCAACTCATCGGGGTCATGTAAGAATGAAGATTCAATAGGTCGATCCTATTGGGGCTCTATGTCTTCTCCATATCTAGAACCTATCAAGTTCTACGATGATAAATGGTCGAGACCCCACTTGGGCTCTCCGACTTCTCCATGTATCAGAACCTATTGGGTTCTACGATGATAAATGATCTGGAACCCATTGGTCTCTCCGACTACTTTATGTCTAGAACCTACTGGGTTCGATAACTTTAATTGGTTAAGACCCTATTTAGGCTCTCTGTATTCTCTTTAGGTCTAGAACCTACCGAGTTCTACGAATTCAACTGGCCAGGAACCTAATGAGTTCTCCCTTTTCCTATGCTTCTACGTGAGACACTTTTCCCTTCTCTTTTGTTATTCCTTTACTAACCTTTTATCTTATTTTTATTAAAACACTAAAAAATAATACAAACCCAACAACCAAGCTAATGGACTCACTATCACACCCCCACTAATCTTCACATTCCCACATATTAGGCCTAATTACCAATATATCACTTATTCTCTACAATTCTCACTAAGTAAATAATCTTTCACTAACCGACATGATTTCCTAACATTAACTCAATGGATCAATAGTCTTACCCCAACTAACCCGTAATATAGAATATGCATCAAATAATTTAAATTAAATCATTTACTCACAAAGTCTAACAAGTAATATAATTAATCAAATATGTAACTAATAAATAAAATTGGGGTGTTATAACTCCCCCCCCCCCCCCCCCCCCACTAAAAAGGACTTTCGCCCTCGAAAATTACCTCAAATGAATAGATCAGGATATGACTCCCTCATCTGACTCTCGAGTTCCCGAGTCACGTTTCCACCTGCTGGTCCTCCCCAAGCTACCTTCACCAAGGAAATCTCTTTACCTCAAAGTTTATTCAACTCCCAATCCTCTATATGCGTAGGTGATGTCTCTGCAGTCAGGTTATCCTTCACATACACATCATCTACTTGGTCCCCATGAGACATATCCACAATGTATTTCCTCAATTGAGATATATGAAACACATCATGAAGATTAGCAAGCGATAGTGGTAAAGTAATCTGATAGGCCACATCTCCTATCTTCTTTGAAATCTGGTATGGACCAATGAAATACGGTGTTAGCTTGCATGACTTCAATTCTCGACCAACACCAGTTACTGGAGTAACTCAAAGAAACACATGATCTCCTTCTTGAAATTCAAGTGCTTTCCTCCTATTGTCATGATAGATCTTCTGACGACTCTGAGAAATCTTTATCTTCTCCTGAATCATCTTAATCTTATCAGTAGTCAGCTAGACTATCTCAGGTCCAATCACAATACTCTCTTATGAATCATACCAACACAATGGCATCCTACACCTTCTACCATATAATGCTTCAAACGGTGCCATTCCGATACGCGAATGGAAATTATTGTTCTAAGTGAACTCAATTAAATTCAAACACACATAAGAAGTAGTCATTGAACCCATAACATGAGTATCAATAATCATACTTCCATTCATATCAGATAACTCGATATTTAATCTCTTAACACAATCCAAAGAAATGAAAGAATGTGTCACTCTATTATCAATTATAGAAATAAAAGGCGTACCATTAATGAAGCATGTACCTCTGATTAATATATCTTCAGTAGTAGTCTCATAACCTGATAGAGCAAACGACTTCCATCTAGATGGAGTCTTCTTTGGTTTATCACATTTGGTACTAATGTGCCCTTGATCGCCACAGTTGTAGCAAGTCAAATTCGCACCTCCCTTGTATTCATAAGCCTTGTGGCCTGGATTGCCACACTTGAAACACTTATGTTTAGTACTTGTGCACATGTCCTTCGACACCACACCTAAAACACTTAACCGAAGCAGGAGTGAAACAACCAACAGAAAAATCATCAAGAGAAAATCAATGAAGTCCCCATCAAGTATTTATTTATCCCACAGGAAGGGAAAGAAAAATCATCAAAGAAAAACATGAGAAGGGAGAAATCACAATCTTACGACCGAGAGATCGGGTAAGGGAGTCAATTACGCAAGGGGAAGGTATTAGCACCCCTCACGTTCATGGTATTCCACGGGATCTGTAACACCCCAATTCTACCCGGCAATTATATATGCAAATCAAAGTTATAATCATTCATGCAAGTGAATCAGGATGCCACAAATTCAACTTTCAAAACTCATTGCATTCAACGTGGATACATAACACTTTAAAACTTTGGATGAA